TTGAGAAAGGTCCTGCTATTTCTTGAATAATGCATGTGATTGTGTTTTTAAAAAAAAAAATTAGACTGTACTACGCAGCATGCTTGCAAGGGAAGATTTTAATATTAAGCTTGCTAGTACCTGTCTTTTAAGTGCTGGATTGCAACCTTATTCTCTCAGTGTATTTTACTTTTATGCCCTATATTGGTGCTTTTTCTTAAGCCTGAGTCTTGGACTCCATTCCAGCCTTTTTAGAGGACTGTTGTGTTGAGGTCACTGCCCCTTCTGTCTTCTGCTGCTTAGCCCTGTCTTTTTCTCTTTCCTTCTCTCCCCTGGTGGGTCCTGCCACCTCTTTGCTGATAGGCCAGTATTTCCACACCCTGGTGGCCCATTGCTGTCCCAGCAGTTGAAGATCCTCATCTGATTTCAGTCACTCCTAACTCACCATTAGACATCCTCTATTTTTTCTCCTTATCCCGTGTCTGGTGTATTTTCCTCTTCCAAGTTTAATGGATCATTATATCCCCATTGGAGTCCCAGGTGCCTTTTGGATTTAGCACCTCTTTCTTATCTTACCACTAGTAGCTTTGGGACTAGGAAAGTGAGATGAATCCTCTGCTGTTACGCAATTTGTCATATCTGGTTCTGTCTTCCTCATTCAAGTCAATCTGCTTTCTTTCCAATGCAATTCAGGAGCTAGCAGGTGACATGTCAAAACAAAGAAAAGCAGCAGTCCTCCAGTGTCGTATGTTAGGGTCGCCAATGTCCCAAGAGCCTCTATAGATTGCAGGATTAATTACATTAAAGTTCTGCCTTTTTAGTCTGGATCATACTCAGTGCAAATAGTACCTTCAGAGAAATGTGATTCAGTGCTAAATTAATCTGTGAAATGGGCGACAGTCCCCTAGGCTCTCAAATTAGCCAGGTTTTGGTGAGTTGTCTTCCCCTTGGGACAGATTTAAAAAAAAAAAAAAAGAAAAAAGAAAAAATCCAGCTGAATTTTATTTACCTTAGCCAAGAATGGAAGTGCAGAATTTATCTTCTCAACCAAACTGTTCCAAGAACGTATCTTTCATGTGGAGTTCTTGGAGTTTGAATTTCAACATTTTCTGTCTGAGTCTATTCTTGGAAACATATGCACTGGTTTTGCTTAGAAGCTCCTCTGTATAGTCTAATAATAGTCATTTGGCAGTTAAAGAATGCAGAAAATTTGCACTTGAAATGTTAGGTAAGAAATCCTATTTATGTTGCTTTAATTTCTCATAACATTCAGCAAAAGATTTTGAAGTCTTCGACGTATTACAAAACTGGATAAAGTGTCAAGGCAAAACTGCTTAGAGGTAATGAATAGTGTGTTCAAAATACTAACTATTGTGCTTTTTGCTTGTGTTAGCAAAAACTCGTGCTGCTGACTTACTGGTGAATCCACTGGACCCAAGAAATGCAGATAAAATTAGAGTTAAAATTGCTGACCTGGGGAATGCCTGCTGGGTGGTAAGTATAACTACATCATTTTAGCTGTTTAGCCTTCACCAGTTAGAACAGGCCTTTTTATTGTTAATTTTTTCCATTAATGTGGTTCTTTCTATTTTAGCATAAACACTTCACAGAAGACATCCAGACAAGACAATACAGATCCATAGAGGTTTTAATAGGAGCAGGTTACAGTACACCTGCTGATATCTGGAGTACAGCATGTATGGTAAGAACAATACAATGTGTACTTTACAAGAATAAACCTCCTAAAAACGGTTGTTTATTAAGTGAGGAAACCTGATGAGGATAGTTCTGACACAAATACATTATCATAAATTATGTCATATCAGATAGCTACTGATGATTTTTCCCCTTTATTTCATTTTCTCAAGCATTCTTATCAGAAGGAAGTATTTTTGAGAACATTTCTAATGTTCACTTGATCGATTTTAAACTTTAAGTCAAAAATTTGCAAGTTTGGAGGGAAATACATGTATATTTTAAATGTCAAAGTCTAACTGAAATAGTACAACTGCATGTTTCCTTCCCGTCTTAGAATTTATGCAACTGTTTGCTGTGTTTCCATCCCTTTTTCTTGCATAAAGTAGCAAAACAGTGAAATACTTCAAATTCTTGCCAAGTGCATTGAAAACATTCATCAGATTAGGCTTGCAAATCACAGCTTTAGATTCCAAACTTTGAAGAGGAGGAGTTTAGTTTATTAGTAAAAGATGTGATAACATTCTGTAGAATTAGATTTAACACAGTAAAACTGAAATTATATATTTTTGGAAATCTTTAAAGAATAGAAAAAGTAAAAAACGATTCAGTTTTCTGAAACTTACTCTGTTTGTAGTAATCTGGGGACAAATAAGTTACATGCATCTTCTCATTAAAGATAGTTTTGGAAATACATTTAGAAATATCTTTGTCTATTTTAAAAGTGAAAACTTATTCAAATCTTTGTATTTTACAAATACATGTCTGAAAAGAGTAAGTGTGTGAGGAGGAGGAGAAGACTCAAATACTAGACACAGTTTGCAGGCGTGGGTGATGAGAAGAATTGCAGAGCTCAGAGGGAGGGGAGGAGGATTGAAGGGAACATAAAATCCTGCAGCTATTATAAGCTCAGCAAGCCATGTGTTGAAAGTAACTAACCCATAAGTAAAATTGCAAGTATGTTTTCTCTGGAGTTTAATACTAGCTTTTGCTTTAGTACACAGAAAAGGACATCCATTTCCAAATTTACTCTTCCATTTGGGGGCAAAATGTAGAATTTTTCTATTACGTTGAAAAACAAAGCATAGAAAATATTCCACAGTTTTGATCCTTAAAAAATGTAGAATTTTTCTATTACGTTGAAAAACATAGAAAATATTCCACAGTTTTGATCCTTAGTTCTTTGAATGATCTTCCCTTAACTGCAAAATTACTATAGAGACTTTATTCCTTTTACCTGATATTTTGTAAACCTCAGTTGAACTTGATACATTTTTATGGTATTGAATAACCTATATTCGTCTTCCTTTAAGGTTCTTCCTATCCCCTGCTAATTTTATATACAGTCTTGTAGCTAAAGCCACATAAAAAAAGTCTGAAGTATGTCTAGGATTGTGTTTAAAGCAAGTTGGGGTATCACATCTGCAGAATATAATATTCTTCCAGTACTTGAGGTCTTCCAGCCCCTTAAACTTTAATTCTTCTCCACGTTATGTAAGTGTTACTGATTTCTTCATGCGAGTCTGAGATTTCTCAAACTCAAGTTAAAAAAAAGCCTCAAGAATCTCTGCCACTAGGGGTATCTTAATTCAGATCCACAATTATTTATGAAATGTCAGTATTTTAATGAGAAAATTATACTGCTGCTTTTTAGTTTTGTGAGCTTTAAAAGATAGTAAAGCATTTTAGGCAGAAACACTGGAAATCTGTCTTCTGCCACAGACTTTGTTTTTTTGCCCTTAAAAATGCTGTAGAAATTTTATAATCTTACAAGACTGACATACAGTTGTTGAATCCAGTTGTCATCACTGTATAGCCATGTAAAAATAGAGATCAGTCTCTCAAGCTTACCCCAAAAATTCATCGTTTCAAACCCCCTCAGGATCTGCTTTCATTCCTGTATGGTTGAGAAAGTGGGTCAGCACACTGTGAGTGCTGATCCCGTATCAGATGGAAAACAGCTCTGAGGTAGGGATTGACTTGAAGACCTTTACAGCTCTTTCTGCAAGGGACTTGTAACAGAGATTAGCAGCCAGGGAAACATTACTGATGTGGAACTGCAACCTCCCAATTATTGTATTTAGGCTGTCTTTGGAAATTATGATTTGATTCTCTCCAGTCCCTAAAGCAGCCAAGAACTGTGAAGTACTGAAGTGTTTTAATGCCACTGTAGTCCCACTTGCATTCTCAAGTTTGGATTCCTTGTTGCACCTAGTTGTGGTTCAGAAAATGCCCTTATAGGTTACCTTGATCTTGATTTGTGTTTAATTCTTTTTATTCCATAATGTTTACTGTTACGTGTGTTTTTGAAAGAACTGTCTGCTGGAGCAGGAGCTGGAGGTGGTGTTTATTTTCAGCCAAGATACGGCTCAGATACCCCGTTAGCCATGTTGTCCAAATCTCTCAAAGGAGAGCAAGGAGACAACTTTGTCATGTTGCTTTGCTTGTAGAACAACTCCAAAGTCATTAAGGACATTTTTGGAAGCAGTAATATGCAAAACGGGTGGTCCAGCAGTCTTGCCATGACTTTTTTCGTGGTGAACTTCCATCTTTCCATACTTTTCCCAATGTGCTTTTACCAGCACACAATGAAGTGGTCACCCTACCAGCTGACTCTGTATTGATTGCATATGGTATTCTTCATTCTCTGATTTTTAAATTTTTTTTTTAGAAAAGGTTGTCAATTAAGGGGTAGCTATATGTTATTAAGTGACCTGAGTTGGAGGTTGTGTTCAGGTTTAGGTACGTGATTGCTCTGTTCATATCCACCTGTCAGAAATACTACATTTGTTGAACGGGTAGGAAAGGTGCCCGTGTGGCTTTGCAATGGGAGCTGCGTTACATAATTACAGACCCTGTCCTTCATTCTGATCATGATTTTGACTTTGGATGAGCTTCTTGTCTCAATTTATCTACTGAATGTTAATGCACAGATTGCAAAAGTGTGTGCCTAATATGAGTGATGTGAACTAATGTGAATGCAAAGTATAGCGAGGTAGTATCAAAGCAAAAATGAGACGTTACGCTTTTAAAACCCTTGCTTGCAACTGAATCACTGAGCTGGTTCTCTGAACTGGCGCTGAAAGAAGGTTCAAAATATTTTGACTTCATTTGGATGGAATTGTGTGCAAATACATCCTGTAGATCTGTGCGTACCCACAACCTTCAAATCAGAGATTTCTGACCAGTGTTCTCATGGAGACTGATCCAGGTGTGCTCTTCACTCCTCCATCTCAGCATCTCTTGCTGACAGAAGACCTGCAGCTTCAAAGGTGTGGGCAGGTTCTCCATCTCTGTGGGCATCTCCATTCGAGCCTAAGGTTTTTCACTGCCTTTTGCTTGCTAATGAAATGCTCTTGCTCACTGAGAATAGCATTGACTATGAGAGTGGCAGAGCTACTGGTTCTTGTATTGGCTTGTATTTATGGCATAAAGTGTTTGAGAGAAACACAGAGGTTGTGCTATATCACAGCAGCAGCAGACAGTCTTTTTTCATCATACCATTTGCTCATCAATTTTACTTGGTCTTTAGTAATGAGGATGGAGATGATGATGTTTTTAAAGAAAAGCATCTGGTAACAGTGCCCTGAGCGTGCAAATTGTGGGTTCACAGCAACTTTGAGAACATCCCCCTTATGAATCTGGTTTTAGGGCACTGTATGTATGCCTACATGGAGTGCTCTCTTCAGCTGGGCTCTGCTAATACAGGCTGGCTTTGTCTAGCCACCAACCCCATTTGTTTGATGCAGCTTTCAGGACAGAATAGTCTTGTTTTATTTGTATTGTCTTCAGTATGGGAGGTTTTCTGATCAGTATTACTTGTGCTGGAAGTGTACATAAACAGAGCCATGTAAGGACTCTACCCAAACAGCGTATAATATAAGAGAAGCAGTGGAAAAAGGGAGAAATAACTCAGTGGTAACAACCTTACAGTTTTGTTTCTTTTGGTGTTATGGCAGTGAATAAGTAGCGTTGTAAGCCAGCAGCCTGCGAGCTGAATCTTCTAAGTTTAGATGATATGGCGTGGCCCAGTTCTTGTGCCCCCAAACTGGAAAAGTACCTCTTGGAATCAGATCTAAGGGATGAGAAGCAGTATCCTCAGGCCAGTACCAGTCCTCTGTTTGGGTGATCTGAGTCTCAAGAGTCTTTAAGAAAAAGAAAAAAAAAGAAGGCAGGGGGGAAAAAAGAGGATGATGCATATCTTTGGAGGCTTATAATCAGTGCACACATGATGTGTTGTGAAGCTAATGAAAGAAGTTAGATGCCAGTGGGCTTTTCCAGACTATGACAGAGTCACTTGCTTGTTCTGTGCTCAGCAAAGAATGCAGCAAAGTGTAACTTAATTTTTTTTCCCAGACTTCGGTGACCTAGGTCTGAGCAAGTGTTGCTGTCATTTGCTGGACATTTACAAGTTTTGCTAAGGAAATTGCAAAGTGCCCTTTCTTTTTCTTTTAACAATGTGGCCTATTTAAGTGGGTTACTCAGTTGCTCTCATGGAAAGCTAGACACTGGGAATCTCTCTCCATATCTATTAAATTCTAGAAAATTCTGTGTTCCCTTGTTGTTCTAAACCCTATTTTAATTATGCCAACAGGGAGGTACATCTCTTGTTTTCACCCAAAAAAAGGAACAGATTTGGAGCCAGCAGTGCCTTTGACAGGATTGAAACCACCCTTGATCATTTAATTTTATCAGGCTGAATTTCCACATTTGCAGTATTGAGAGGGTTGCTTTCTGTGGAGCAGGAACTGAACAGGCACTGCATGATTTAGCATTTCCTAAATCTCAAAAACCATGGAACACAGTACTCCACTGCTGCTGCCAAGAAATCCTGGCAAGATAAGGGAGTTAGTAAAGGCAGAGGGCATCCCTTTGTGTCGCTCCTGGAAATGACTGCAAGCACCATGATTCCACTGCTTTTCATTGTTTATGCTCGTTGGATTGGAGACAGGAAAAGCACCTGAAATGATAAGTCTCATCATCTGACTTTTGTTGTTCATCATGTTCAGGCTTGTTTGAGCTGCAGGGAGGAGATGACTATGTCACAAACTAGGACATTAATAAGACTGTTTTTAACACTTATCTGAGGTGGCTTTTGTGGCGAGTTGCGATTCCTGAAATATCTTCTTTTTATAATAAGAAGTAGCAAATAGATTATAACTGTAGATCGGCAGGAAGTCACGGAAGGAGAAAATTGTACTTGCTATTTTATCTAACTAAAGAGAATGCAGATGATGAAAGAAAATACTACTGGGGTGAGAGGGAAAGGGGGCAGGCAAACAGCTTTCAAAATGAGGGAGGTGCTGCTACAAGGCAAGCAAACTTACAGGGGTGTTTTTTATTATGACCGTTTCCATTCATGTGAGAGAACTCGGAGGGATAGTATGAAGAATGAACAGAATATAGTAACTTATGGTGTTAAAATTAAACCTACATGTAAGTGCTTGTAGTTCAGCCCCCAGTTTACTTCTTTGCATGATGTCCTCTAGCGTGGGGTGGAGAGGTAACTGTCCTTTGAACTACTCTTCTGTGTTGTAAGCGGGGAAAAAATGATCATGTCTCTGTGGGATCATGAGTATCATCATGCTAGTATGTGCGAGTGGCACGTACCAAGGGTGTGATGACAAGCCTCAGTCTGCACAGAAGCAGTATTTTGAGGAAAAATGGAAAATCAAAAATCTGGTTGAGAGAAGAGGAAAACTTCAAGTCACTATGCACATATTTTTCAGTAGGCAGATACAGTACAAAATGCTGTTATTAATCACTGTACACCCTTCTTGAAGGTGGTGGGTGGACAACCTGAAACATTCAAAAGAAAATGATTTTCCAAAGAAACTGACTTTCCAAAGCAACCACTCAGCATGTGCATGATTCCGAGATCGGAGTACAGCAAATAATAGAAACCTGTTTCCTTTTCAAGCATCCCATGCATGTCTGTGTTTTGTATATCTGGCCTTTCTTACCAAGCACTAACCATGCAAAATGCCTTTTATATTCTTTCCATTGCCTGGCTCTTCAGAGGGAGATGTCCACGGGAGAACAAACTGTCAGCTGGTGTGCGTATCTCAAAAAGCTTTTTGCTCTTCTTTCCATGCTCCCACTTACCTATGGAACAGTGTTCTTAAAACTAAGCCTATTTTTAAAGCAGTTAAAATCTTCTCATTCACAGCTCTTCATTTCAGCTGGGGCAGAGAAACTGGCCAAGAGCCGGATCTTGTCTGTCAAAATAATAATTCTGGCCTATAGCTCGTTGTCCTTTTTCAGCTGGGGCTTCATAAGAGGAATTCAGGGACCCTGATGCAGTCCAAGTGCATTATTCTTCCAGTCCTCTCCCAGACAGCTTTCCCTAGGCTTGCATCCATTTTCAGTCGCCAGATTGAGTACACAGCTGTCGCACAGTGAAAATGTAGCTATTTCCAATTGTGTGATTAGACATGGATCCATAATATACGATAGCGATGCCAACAGTTTAGTATTGTGGTAGGTTCATATACAATCACGTGGCAGGAAAGGAATCATAGCTTCTCCAGAGCCTACAAAAGCAGCAGTGTTACCATTTGTGTGAAAGGTTCTCCATCTGCAGATGGAGAAAAGCAGTCTAGACTGGTTTTCTGTGATAACCCTAGGAAAGTGGTAAGTAGTGATTGCCAGTACAGTCAGTAAGGGTGGATGATTGCCTTGGGCTTTTGTGCCATATGTTGAGTGTGCTGTATCTCATTTGTTATCTCCATATAATAACTGAAATGCTGATTTCTGTTGAGGTAAATGTCAACATTAAGTAAAAAAGATGATGGTAATTCAAAGGTGGAGTTTCTGTCAAGAAACTAGTTTTTATACATGAATACTTTCAAAGGGAAAGTAAGTAAGTAAATATGTTTAATCTGTATTTGTAGCATCATAGAAATAATAGCCAAATTTTGGTTGAAAGGGATCTCGACTAGTCTGCCTCCTGCTTAAACCAGGGTTAATGTCAAGGTTAGATCAGGCTACTCAGGGAAGTCACTTCCTACCGAGGGCTGTTAAAATGCTTGTTGTGTACAGCCCAGTACCTGGTTAGCCTGTGTTACCACGGGAATGCACTGCTGACCTGTGTTCAACTTGCTGTCCATCTGAGTCTCCACCTCCTGATTTTATCACAGAGTGTCAGTAACTTACGAATTAGAGGCTGGGTGGTTTTATGTCCCCACAGTTGGGTGCAAAGTTGTCGATGAGTACTGAAAAGTGCTCAGGAAGTCTAAAGCAGCACTGCATTGCCAAAACTAATTCTGAGTTCCAGCAGCAGAGAGCTCTTCTTTCAGTGGCACTGACTCAGTAACAGGACTGCCCATGCTTTCTGGTGTACCACACCTTTGGACATCAGCTTAAAGAGCAGAAGAACTCACTCTGATACAATCCAGAGATGTCATTGTCTTTCTTACAGCTATTTACCTGCTTATTAATGCATTTTTAATCCTGATTCTTTTACTTTATGGTAAAAACCTAGGTCAAGGATTTATTCTTTATTAAACGAGGCCCAATTAATTTCATTTATCTTGTGCTATGTAGCCAGTCCATCCTACAAAATCTAGGAACCTATTACTAGGTTGCTACAGATGAACCTGTGAGACATTGTCCTGCATGAATTCTAAGTATTATTACAGATACTTACCGCAGCAGCCAAACAGCAAGGCTGTCTCTGGGCTCCTGTGTGCATCTGAGTCAGAAGTTTCTTCATTCTTGGTACAGAGTCCTTTAAGGAGAGTCAGGAAATCAAATATCTGAGACACTGGGGCTCCAGCCCATGCTGGGCCTGGAGTCAAAACTGTACAAAAAGGAAAAAAGAAGCAGCAGCAGCATTTTGAAAACCTTTAGGTTCTTTTCAGCAAAAGGGTGGTATAAATATCCCAAATATATGAGAGCTTGCAGCTCTTATTATATACAAACAGATCTAAAATTCAGTGTATCGCAGCGGTATGCTTACTTCTTGTGCTTCTCTATGAACAGTTTTTACAGTTTTCCCAATTTAATCTTTTTAGCTCCATGCAGACATATGGAGCTATTAACACTTCATTTTTGGGGGACAGAAGCTGCATACTTTTGGAGTCTACCTTTGTGGCTAAATTTAACTACAGTTCTGTTGTTCTCCAAGAATCTGTGTTCAATAGTGATGAGTTTCCTAATGTCCTCAGAAATCAGCCCCATCAGCGTGTGTTCTCTTAGGAAAGCTGGTCCGGCTCTTCCAGTGAATATATTCCCATGAGATACAGAGAGGACACATGGGGCTTCTCAGTCTTATCTCAAGAGAATAACAATATTCTCCATGTTTGAGGTCCCTACCAGTGATCTCTTTTGGCTACACTATAAAAATGTCTTCAGTTTAAATAGCTGGTAGTTTATGAAGTCCTTCAGATTTTTTTAAGCTGTTAAATGAAAACTGTCAATCTTGAGCTTGAGAGTAGAATACGAAAAAATGTGAATGACTGTTTATTAGTGACAGTGACTTTAGAGATTAAATGCCCGTTCGTAGGATCAACAGACATGTCAGCAAGGGGCACGCTTGCTTTCTTGGCTTCTGTGATTGCGATGAATTATTTTGGCTATAGCCCACCTGGATGACACTGCAGTTCACAGCTTGAAAAAGCCAAGTGCCTATAAATAGGCTAAATTTACAGGTGATTTAACAACTCCAGATTATGAATTGGAACATAAGAGTGTATATTTTCAGGAGACAAATATTTTGTAGTAAATGTTCTAGCGGAGTGAAATCCCCCTGTAGAACTGTGCCAGAAGTTCTGCCTGACTTCTGGAAAGATTTTCTGGATCAGATGTTTTCCCTGGTCTTGGAGATGGAAAATAGTTTGATGTTTAGACCACCTGGAAAGAATTAGATTCCTGTGGCTGCTTGGGTAATTGGTGATCCAGAGCAGAAAGAGAGTAGTTTAACAAATCAGGCTAGATGAACCCATGTTTGTACCCAAGCATGGGCTCTAATACGCGTTACACCCACAAAGAGAAACTATGTTTTGTCCTGACCTAACGCAGGGTTAGCATCCCATCGAAGCATTGCGGTGGCCTGAGGGGATCGGTCATCGTGGTGTCTGCTCTGGATTCCTTCATCAACGTCAGTCTCCGTATTTTACCCCATCATTGTAGTATTTACTTTGATGACTTCTGATTCAACAAAAATACCTTTTTAAAAACTGTCCTAGATTCAGAGTCATCAAGGAAGCTTACCCTGTTTGCTAATTTCAAGTGATGCATTATAGTTACAAGTGGATTTTATTTCTGATTCAGACTTTCTCATTTCAGTCCCCAGCATGCAATCTGACAGATAATTAGCCTTCAGATACAAGTCTAGCTCTTTATTATGTATTTAGAAATGCCTGTCTCTCAGTTTCATTAACTTACACATATTTAACATGGTCAACAGACAACACATTAGTATGTAAAAACATGTTTAATGTTGGCTTACACTGACATCCCCTTCACACCCCCGTGCAGCCGATCTGTTCAGAATCGCTTCCTCCGCAGCTGGATGCTGTTCGCTGCCTCCCGCCACAGAGGACCGGTGCTGAACTTTGCAACACGACCGAAATACTCCCTGCTGAGCCGGTGGAGCCTCAGGGGTTGCTGGCTGGGGAGGGACCGCAGTTCCACACTCCTTGTCCATCTCCTTCATTCATCCTGGTTGAATAGGGAGAAGCGCCTGGGGTTTGGGCGTGCTGCCCCATTGCCAAACCTCCAGCCTCTCGTACTGACGGGGTGTGCTCAGGGCTGAACGTGGGGCTCTCTCCAGAGCCTGGGTTCATGCTGTCGTTGCACTGCAGGAATGACGGTCCCCAGGTAAGTGGCCTCTCCTCAGTCTCAGATCCAGTTGTAGGCCTTGAGCTTTGAACGTTAATTCCCTCTTGGTTCTGAGATAGTCGTGATCTTTTGCTGACATCTGAAGATTAAAAATACTATTTCTGAAATAGCCATAAATATGTCTGTTATGTTATAGGCTTTTGAGCTAGCGACTGGAGATTATTTGTTTGAACCGCACTCTGGTGAAGACTATTCCAGGGATGAAGGTATGACTCTTCTGAGATATTCTATGAATTTCTATATATTTTCACACTCCTCTTCTTAAATTTCCAGTGAGCTTAGAGTGGGGTTAAGTTTTGTATTTGAGTGAACTGTTCGTACACATTGTTTTCAGAATATAAATACGATTTTTTTCTTTTTAGTTTTAAGTTCCATCACTAGCAATGGGTGGGCAAAAACTCCCTTCTGCAGATACTCATCTACTTAACAACTGCCTGAAGGAATTAAACTGCCCTTCTTGTAAGATTGCATATGTGTGGAAACCTGATTGAGAATAACAACATTTTAGTTTAGAAAAGAAACGACAAATTTGAACTTTATAGTATTTTCTCTTTATAAGAGTGACACTGGAATAATGTTTACATTGTGTATTTTTATTTGAATTAGGCAATTACTAATTTTTTTTTTAAATCAGAATTAACTCCTGCTTCCATCTGTATACCTGTCCATTTTCATGCTTGTTTGCTTGTATATGCTCTTTGCAGTGGTAATGTGGGCATCATTCATTGTTCCTAAATGCTACTAATGATGCCAGAGCTGTGCTGATCCTGGAAACCTCTGCATGGATTTGCTGCAAACATTGTTGATTTGAAACTATTTCTGATTTTTTACTAATTCCAGTTTCTTTCCTCTTCTTTTTTATCCCATCCTTTCCCTGCCCCTTCCACTCCCGTATCCTTTTTTTCTCTCCCTCATAGACCACATAGCACACATCATAGAGCTGCTAGGCAATATCCCAAGGCACTTTGCTCTATCTGGAAAATATTCTCGGGAATTCTTCAATCGCAGAGGTAGTACCTCTTCTTTTTGAAAGGTGCCGTGATGCAGACAGAAGTGGAATTGCTGTTGCTGGTTGTAGCATGTCCCACTGAGGAGCATTTCCTGAAATCACACAAGAAAAATTTCTTTTTGAAAAACAAAATACTCAGGAATCTGTGACAATTTTTTTTTTCTTTTTTAGCTAAACATTCTGAAAAATAACTATTGGTGCGTTTTAAATGACACAGCAAAACTTGTTTGTAGCGGCCAATCCTCAAATGTTGTTTTGAGAAGGAAGTTTTGCTGAAAGCATCTTTCCAAATTGGCCACTGAGCAGTGTGCACGTCTTTTTTTACCAGGATCAATCTATTTCTGTCTGTACCGGGCCAGTGTTAGTGTGTGCATGCAATGTACTGATTAAACTGTTGTATGTTTCTGTTTTGCTGGCAATGTTCTCCAATGCAGACCACATAGCATTGATCATTGAACTGCTGGGAAAAATCCCTCGAAAATACGCTATGTTGGGGAAATATTCCAAGGAGTTTTTCACCAAAAAAGGTAACGGTATTTATGCAACACTAATTTAAAGCATAATACTATCCAAAAGGAGAATATGTTCATTTATGGGTACTGAAGAAATATATCCGTTAAAATGGAGAGCTCTTATTAAAGAAGAACTTCGGTGTAAACTTGCCTTTCTGAGAAAAGCCACAATTTGCAGTATTCATTTCAATATTTCATTTAAAATTCATTTTTGGGACGTACGCAACAAAGTGTGGACGTTAACGAATGTCCGTGTGAATCTGTTGTCCAGTGTTCGTGTAAATGTAAGGAATCGAGCGATGCGTAGCTTGTAACATGACGGAAAGTCATCTCTCAACTACTCCTGATCATGTATAGTGGTCCAGCAGATGCTACTGATGAGGAATAACCGCGAAGGGAGGGGAGCACGGGGGCGATAGACTCACAGCCGCGTGCAGCCGGTCCTCACGCTCTTGTAACCCCCCCGAAGAGAGAGCGTGCGGAAAAGATCGCTCTGTGGCGGAGCGGTGGAGAAAGCCCCTCTGCTGTGCACCCTGCCGTCTCGCTTCCAACACTCCCAGGTTCCGCAGGGCCCGAGCGCCACAGCCACAGGCGATGGTGGCTTGGCTGTGTTTGGTGCTGTAGGGAAGTGCAACCCCTCTACACTGAAAACCCTTGTCAGTTGCTGTAAGACAGTACTGAACCCGAGCAAACCCACTGGGCCTTACGTTCTTTTATTTTTTGTACTTTGTCTTTGCTCAGGCTGCTCTTTGAGACAGTTTTTTGACACGTGAGGGATTGTGGTGGTGCTTCAAGTGTCTTTTGTCCCCTCTGTGTATGAGACAGTACTGTGTTGTTTCGAGGGAACGGGGTATGCCAGGGACACCACATCGCGGGCTGGCGACCGCAGCTGGCGAGC